GTAATACAAAGCTAATCTGTTATACAGATAGCGCAAAATGAAGATCTAAACTAAAAGAGATCTAAAGGAAGATAACCAAATCAAAATTGTTACAATAATCTTTCTAAATAATAAGCTTGATAGCTGGAAATCTTACAAGCTAATAACTTTATTATTAAATATAAACTGAAAAAGAAAAATATAGTAGCTAATACTTTGTCTTATCTATCATAAGTGAATAATATTACTACAATCTCTACACAACTTATTAGTGATGAAAAGTTATAATAAGAATATGAGAATGATAAATATTTCAAGGAAATCTGGATAACTTTACATAATTTTGAAGTATCTACACCAAAATAATAATCTTGAATATGATACTTTGCTTGATGAGATAACAAAATTTATTTAAAAAATACTAATCAACTCACTATTTTAAAGGATAAAACTCTAAGAACTCAAATTTTGAAGAAATATTATAACATTACTATCTCTGGTCATTTAGGAATTGATAAAACTTATGAACATCTATAAAGATCATATTATTGGTCAAAAATATTCAAGAATATTTATAAATACATTTTCAGTTATGAAGAATGCCAAAGAAATAAAAATAATAATCAGTCATCCTTAGATTTTCTACAACTCTTGAAAATATCTGAATAATACTAAGAATAAATTACTTTGAATTTTATTATGCAATTACCTACAACTTATCAAAGACATAATGCAATTTTAGTTATTGTCAATTATCTTACTAAATGAGCTTATTTTATTCCTACTTGTACTACTATTACTATATCTGAAGTTGCTAAACTATTCTTCAATAATATTTTCAAATTATATGAACTTTCTTGAATTATAATTTCAGATCATGATACCAAATTTACTAGTCATTTTTGGAAATTACTATTTGAATAAATTAGAACTAAATTGGTTATGTTAACTACATTTTATCCACAAACTGATGGTCAAACTGAAAGAATAAATTATACTCTAGAAGAAATATTATAAATCTATTCCACTTATAATTAAGATTGCTAGGATAAACATCTTGCAACAGCTGAATTTGCATATAATAATTTAATTTAAGCTTCTTCTGATCATATATCTTTTAAGTTAGATTGTAATTAATATTCAATAATACTTATAACACTTATCACAGATAATAAAGTCATCACTATTAATAAATTCATTCAATATTAGAATAATATAATTAAAGATATTAAAGACTTATTAATGAAAGTACAAGATTATCAATCTAAATATACTAATCAATATCATTATTATTAAGAATTTAAAATAGGAGATCAAGTTTTATTTTTAACTCATAATATTATTAATCTCATGGATAAATAACATTCTAGTAAAAAGCTTACACCTAAATATATTAGTTCCTTCTCTATTCTTGAAGTTATTTCATCTATTGCATATAAATTAGATTTATCTTTACATATGAAAATTCATCTTGTCTTTCATATCTTATTATTAAAATTATACAACTCTAATAATAATGAAAATTTCATTCATCCAACTCTATCATAATTAATCATTATATTTGGAACTGATGAAGAAGAATATAAAGTGGAAGCAATCTTGGATAAAAAAACCATTCAAAATAAATCTTAATACTTAGTTAAATGACTAGATTACTCTCTTTATAATTCTACCTGAGAATCTTTGAAAAATCTTTGCAATTCTATGAAACTTGTGAAATCTTTTGAATCAAAATATTAATGAGAATATTGATTCTTAAGAAAGAGAGAGTTATAATAAAATTAGATTAGTTAATAATAATTATATTAGATTTATTTTTTATTTTGCAAATTATTACTATATTATATACTATATCACATATAACTTACTGTGTCATAATTACCTAATCATATTAAGAAAAGTTATCTGATTTATTTAAGTTATTTTAGCTATAGATAGTTTCTTAATTAGTGATCCTAACCAGTTAGATCTTAACCAGTTAATTGCTTAAAAAGTTTCAACCAGTTAGGATTTTTCTCAAAGCGGTTAATCATGGTTAAGTATTACCTTCCATATTTAGAAGTTCATTAAAGCAAGACAAGTAGTGATCCTAATCAGTTAGATCTTAACCAGTTAGAGTTTTTCTCAAAGTGGTTAATCATAATTAAGTACTATCTTTCATATTTAGAAATACTCATTATATCATGCAAGAAAAATCTGTCACATCAATAATGTCTTGAAAAAATATTCACAAAAAGAATAGTCAGTCTTTAAAGTTCTTAAGCTACGAACCACATAGCAAAAAATTTAAAAAGAATGGCAGGAATAATACAAGTATATTTGATGAAGTTATTAAGATAGTTCAAAGACAAGATTCTTCTTCTATATCAGAAATTATAATACCTTTTCATCAGGCTAAAAATTTTGTTTTTTCACCATTATTTAATAATGAATAACAATCACCTGTTATAACTACTTTCTTTCAACTTTCTTCAGAAGATGAACACACTCTTAACATTTTATCTGATCACTCACCATTAACTAGTTCTATTTCCTTACCCATACCTCTTAATATTGCTAAGCTTATGAGTAGATATGATATTCAGTCTACACAAGAAAATTCTGATAATAAGAATATTCAAAGTAAAGAAGAACAGAATATTGACATAGAGATAAATGTTATACATAAACAATTACCTTCTGCTATGGCTACTAGTTCTTGGGTTATTAATTAACACAAACCTACAAAAAAAAGAAAAAAAACAAGAATTGATGTTAGTTGAATTTGGTAATGGTTTAAACATGATAAAAATAAAGATATTAGAATGTGTAGCATTGCCAAATATTCACAATTTTACTCTCTTAATACCTTAATATCATTCTATGTCTATCATCTTACAAAGGCACACTTGATTATGAAAGATATAAAATCTCTTCAGCCAGAAATCAAACTGCAATTATAATCATCTCAATAATAAATGCTTCAATAATTATGGAAAAATATTAAGCCTCTCTCTGCAACAAAATGAGAATATATTAATTTTCAACTACTTGAATTTATTATGGATAACTTACAATCATTTATGTTATTAAAAAATATAAAATTTAAAAAATTTTATCATTCATTACATCCTAGTTATGAATCATCTTGTGATACAATGATAAAATTACTTATTAGACAAAGTGTTGAATTTGCAAGGCAAGAACTAGTCAAACTACTTGATCATATCATGGAAAAAGCCAGTTTTACTACAAATCTTTGAACTGGTTTTCACTGATCATATATTGGCATCACTATTCATTAGTTAACTAAAAATTTTCAATTATATGAAGCCTTACTTATGATTGAGAAAATGTCATATGATCATTCAGGAGAAAATATTGCTACAAAACTTTCTGATATATTTGATAGATAGAGAATTAGCTTGTATGATAAAATTATTGGAGAAGTTACAGATAATAACGCAAAAATCTTAAAAGTACTTTGAAATATAGATATAAAATCTATTTTCTGTTCTGCACATACTATTCACCTTGCAGTTTCTAATGATTTAAATTATTATTCTGATATTAAAGATCTTATTATTCATGCAAAAGCTCTTAATTTATTTCTTGTCCATCATAATAAATATTGAGCTTGATTTTTTCAAATTCAAAAAGCTTTGAATCTGGCAAAAGAAGCTCTTACACCAATTCAAGATGTTGCTACCTGGTGGAATTCAACTTTAAAAGTTTTGAAAAGATTTATCTATCTCAAATATTTGATTAAAGTATTATATGAAGCAATATAACGTGAAGATAATCAACAAATTCGTGAAGATGATAATAAATTAGCTACTTTATTCTTAATTTTTAATGATTGGAAAAAAATAGAAGAACTTATTTACTTATTACGTCTATTTAAAAAAGCAATAAGATTTTTAAGCAGCAGCACATATTTTACTCTATCAGCAATATATCCAACAATTAAAGATCTTTTTATTCATCTTCATCATGTTTCTTATTTACATATTAATGAACTAATAGTTCAAGAAGTTCATGATATAATTCTCAAATCTATAGAATTACAATGGAAAGATCCAAAAGAATTAGATCTTTTAGCATCTTTATTAGATTCAAGATTCAAATTACTAACTTTCATATCAAGAGAAAAAAAAGAACAAATACTATCCTTATTAAAATCCTTTATTAATCCTAAATCACTTTCTTCTTCTTTACATAATGATAATTCTTCTGAAATGTTAGATTTTTTTACTTCATTTAATATTCTAAACACAATAAATTTATCACAATCATCTTATACTGAATTAAATCTTTATCTTAACCTTCCTGACTTATTATCTTCTAAAAAAATCATCCAATCACATGGTGGAAAACTCATTCTACTACCTTTCCTTTTCTTGCACAACAAGCTTGTTATTATCTTTTAATTCCAATAAGTTCTATTCCTTTTGAACATCTTTTTTCAATAGTTGAAAATACATTAACTGAAAAATGTAATTGACTTAATCTAACAAGTTTATCTGATATTCTTTTTCTTAAACAAAATTCTAATATTTTTGCAATATATCCTAAATAAAATCTATTTTATATAGTCATATATGACATATTATAAATCATGTATTTATCATTTAGTCAATTAATATTAATTTCTATATAAGGAAATTAATTAAACTAGTTAAATCAACTTTAATCATTTAATTTAACCAGTTAACTGGTTATAAAAATCTTAACTGATTAGGATTACTATTCTTAGTAGAATTTTTCTTTTTTCTTATTCTACTAATTTAGCTAGTGTATTACTAAATTTATATATTTTATTTATAATCATTTATTTTTTTATTTATTTATTAATAAACATCTTCTGGAGATACTATCATATAAGTATTATCTATTATTAATTTATTTATCTTATTATTAATTTTATGTAAAATTAATTTATTATTTAAAGATACTATATCTGTTCTGTATTTTTAAGCAAGAAGTATCTAATAAAAAATAAGTTTTAAATATAATCTCTTGTCTGCTTTTGATTTAGTTTTCTATGTAAATTCTATTTTAAATAATATCACTTATATCTTGAATCTTCTGTGTGAATTTTCCTGATATAATACTATATCTCAACTTTTTTATATGAATTATCTGAATATATTATACTACGTAACTAGAAGATTACATATTTCACTAATTTTAATTCTTAATTATCATGTATTTAATATTTTTTGTGATTATTTTTTCAAAATTCTACTTGTTTTTAAGTAAATTAAATAAAATATTGTATTAAAAATAATTTGTAATTAATATAACAAGAAAATATTATATATAAAAAGTCAAGAAGTAATCAAGAAAAATAATTAAGTTTGATAAAAAAAATTAGTTACTAAGTTAAGTAGTATTTTTTTTTAAAATTCTACTTGTTTTTAAGTAAATTAAATAAAATATTATATTAAAAATAATTTGTAATTAGTATAGCAAGAAAATATTATATATAAAAAATCAAGTAATCAAGAAAAATAATTAAGTTTGATAAAAAAATTAGCTACTAAGTTAAGTAGTATTTTTCTTTAATAAATATATATATTTTATTATTATTTTCTTCTTGCTCTATTAAGAGGGTATTTTAATTAGAAAGAAATAAACTCACGTAAATTATCTTATTAAGAAGATAATTATATTTTTATTAAAAGTAAAATTTATATACAGTGGTCTCTCTCTATTATCAACTTTTCAGATATTAACATCTCTCTATTAGCAATATTGACTCTGGTCCTGAATTTTATAGATGTATATTCCCTTTTAGATATCAACTTTTAATATTATCTCTTCTTGATATCACTATTAATATAAATTCAAGTTTCTATATATATAATACTCCCTTCCAAATATCAACTTTCATATGATAATTTTTTATTGTTTCAAAAATTGCTTTATTTTTTTGTTTTGGTAAATAATACTAACTGTCTTATTATCTCAGTTACTCTTATGATGTCATCAAAAATCCTTTTGATAATCTCACATGATTATCAATCTTTTTTATTCATATGTTAATCTTTATATGGTAATATAGTTTTTATATTTCTTTTTTTCTCTCCCTACCAATGTTATAAATTCTCACCTTTTTCACTTTGGTAAAATTAGTAAGCTACAAGAATACTCTAGCATTTACATTTTTATCTTTCTCACACAATATAAATCTGTCTTATGATGACGTATTGATTCACCTTTGGTAACATAATTATGCTTTTTTTTTCATGTTCTTGTGGCACTCTCTACCTTGAGTGAATGCAAATTATACTTCTCTTCCCTGGTCATTATTATTGATCAACATTTCTGATAATATAAATTCATATCTGTCATAGTCATCATTGCCTTTGTTACCATCATAACTGTTATTTGATTTGTTACTATCATAACATTATTATCTCATAGTGTATTACTGTCATAGCATCATTATCTTTATTACTATCATTATCCACATATAACATGAATAAAGAGACAGAATAACCGCAGAAAAGGTGAATGCAGTTAATCTTAAAGTTCAAGCAAGAAATATGTCAACAAAAGCAAGCAAACCCAAGCCTCACTATCAATCAACTTGCTGAAAGATATAGTTGTGACAAAAGCACAGTTTCAAAGATTTTGAAAACAAAAACAGAATGGATATCAATATAATTGACATAATCTTAAGCAAAAAAAAGGCTAATTAATCAGTTAAATTAGAAGAATTAGAAATAGCTTTGACTATTTGGATGCGATGAGTTCTTTTGAAAAACACAATCTTGACTAATGAACTTATACAACTTCAGGTAAAGAAATTTGCAAGATTATTAAATATTTTGAAGAATAACTTCAAAGTGAGTAATGGTTGGCTTGACAAGTTTAAAAAGTGATATAATATTCAATGATTCAAGATCCAAGAGGAGTCAGAAAGTATCCCAATCAAGCTTCTTCCTGAATACAGGCAGGAATTAGTTGAATTACTTAGACAATACAAATCAGAAGATATCTACAACACTGATAAAACTGGTCTCTTTTTTCAGATGATATCTGACCAGACATTTGCAACACAAGCTATCAAAGGAAAAAAGAAAAACAAGAAGTGAATTACCATTCTGCTTTGTATGAATGCAGTTGGCACAAACAAGCTTAAATCATTGGTCATTGGGAAGTTAGCAAAACCATGATGCTTCAAGAATATCTCAAAGGAAAATCTTGGTATTAAATATGAAGTGAATAAGAAGGCTTGGATGAAAAGTGACATTTTTGAGCATTGAGTAAAATTTCTCAATGATATCTTCTAGTGAAATCATAGATGAATTTTGCTTTTAGTCGATAATACTGTCTCTTATATAGTTAGAGAGGAATCAGAGCATGTCAAAATCTATTTTCTGTTGCCCAATATAACTGCTTATTTACAGTCATGTGATACTAGAATAATCAACTCCTTTAAAGTCCACTATTGAAAATTATATCTTTAGTATATTTTAGAAGTGATAAATACCAAAGAAGAAATACCTCATCTAAACATCAAGAAAGCAATTGATTTTACTGTGGAAGCATAAAAAAATGTAACTTCTCAGACAATTGTCAATTGCTAGCAAAAAACTCACATAGTGCCAGTAGATGAATAGGGTTGGTCAAATTCAGATGCATGTGGTAAAGAGAATGCAAGACTCAAAGCAAATATACAAGAACTTATTTCTAATATTCCTATCAATTATGTGTCAATAATAATAGCTGACAACTATATCAACTTTGATAATTTACTTCAGACAGAAGAAGTTATTATCAACAAGAAAGTTATTATCGAAGAAATTCTCCAATCATCTGGTTCTGAAAATAATACAGATAGTGATATTGAAGTCAAAAAGATTTCTCATGCTATCATATTAGAGCAATGTAAATTGCTTTTATAATATGTTGAATAACAAGATCTGGTAATATTTGTACAGGAATCAGACTTGTCAAAATTATGGAGTTTATTGTAATATATTCAAGAAGAAATAATCAAGACAAAGCAATAAAAACAATTGACCAATTTTTTTTAAGTTTGGGATTCAGGTTAAAGTGAAGGAAATATAAAGTAGTTTTTAGTGATAGAGATCTATTTTTGGGCAGGAATAAAATGTAAGATAGAGATCTATTTTAGACCAATAAAATAATGAACAGAGTTTATTTTAGATCAAAAATAGTGAATAGTCCATTTTAAAAATTAAATAAAAATAAAGTCTTTGAGTGATGTAATAATAAATTTATTAATATCTAATATCTACTTTTAATCCAATATATAGTTTTTATTCGATCAATAAATCAAAGCATTAGATCAATCAATCAAGCTATTTATTAATTCTAATCCTAACCCTAACCCTCTTGGTTATCAACTCTTCTATATATCAATCAAATCTTTTAGTCCTGTAAGGTTAATAATAGAGAGGGACCACTGTATATTATTTTATTAAGAAGATAATTAATTATATAATCTCTTAAAGTTATAAAAATAAATAATTATTGTAAATATAACTATTCTTATCATTTTAAAATATTTATATATTTATAAACTTAAAATAATAATAATATAAAAGTATTAAAAAGAAAAATATAGGATATTATTGATAAGTTTACTTATTTATATGCCTATAATTTTATTATTCTAAAATATTAATATTATATATTATATAAAAAAATATATAATATAAAAAAATTAAAATTATTAAATCATAATATCAATTTCTTATTTTTTTAAATACATATAATTTTTATCAATTTTTAAGCAAGATTAGGATATTTTTACTAAATTATATAATAGGTATATATATCTCTAATTCATTTTTTATAAAGATTTTTTAAAAACTTTTTCATACTTTAAATATCAGAATATCAATATTATTAAAAGTTACTTATGAAAGATATAATAATATAATAATATATAATGATTAAAAAAATTATTATTATATTTTATAATCATAAGTTATAATCCTTTTTTATTTTTTATAATCTTTTAAATATAATATATATTTTTTCTGCAAGAAGTTTTTGGATAAAAAAGAAAAATTTATAGATTTTAACAAGAATTTAAAAATTTACATTGATAATAAAAATTATTTTTAATTGAAAATTGATAATTTCTTTTACTATTACTATCATTTTTATCAAGTTTGGAAATTATATAATATGCTTCTGAAAAAATAATAAAATACTAAAAAAATAATAAGAAAATAAAATAAATATAATTATTAATAAGATTATATATAATAAATATTTTGTTTTTAATTTGCTATAAAATAATTCAAGTGCATTAGTCAAAGTTATTTATAAGAAAAGTGATAAATATTATTATATCTAAAAAGTTCACTTCTTTAAATTTCTCAAGTAATTCCTGAAAATATATTTTGTATTTGCTTGTATAAAACAGTTAATTATAATATTCTGAACAAGATTTTTATAGCCAATTTAAGTTATTTTATGTATTACTCAATTATTTTATCAAAAGTTAGACCATGATATATTTTTCATTCATATTTGCATCATATATACTATATAAAGAATAATATTACATTCTTGCTCTCCTTCAGAAAGATCAGAAAAAATGATTATAATATCATTTACTTTTATATTACTTTGATCAAGTCAAAGACATATCTTGATTCTGAAGTTTCTTTTCTTTAATGATCTGAATAATCTCTTCCTTACACTTTGAATCCAGGAATTCATCAATCTTCTCATCTTTCAATAATTTACAAGTCTTCAACTTCTGATTTATGCCAGAATTTGAAGCAGTATCAGATACTGGAGTATTCTCATTTTGTGAAATTATCTGTTTAGGTATATCATCGGAATTCGATCTATAAGAAGCATTGGCCATACCACTGATATTAGCCGAAGATTATTCTTTTGGGATGAATGTATTTACCTGTTTGGTTTTCCCAGTATCATCTAATTTAGATGTGAGAGCATCCTCACTTCGAGAGACAATAAAATTGCTCTTTTCTTCAGATGTGATAGCATCCTCACTCCGTGAGTTATTTTGTGATACCATTTGTTCCAATTTCGCAACTCTAAATCTAAGCTCAATGTTTTCTTTTGCGGATCATTCTAATTCCACAATTCTAACTTCAAGGTCATTTTTTTCTTTCGCGATCTGCACCAATTCCGCGATTCTAGTCATAAACCTGGCATTCTCTTTTTTTAACAAATCTAGTTCGGATTTTGTGTTTCCCATTGTTTTATACAAGATACAGATATGTTCAAAAGTTTGAATAAATAAAAATCATGTATGCGTGACAAATTGTCACGCCGATCACTGTAAGAAAATCCAGTCACATTGCAGTACATTAAAAGAATAACATGAGGTAAAACAAGCAAAAAATAATTACAAATTTCTATGATATGTATAATTCTCTAATTGTAATCACATGAATCGAGGCAAAATGCGAGAAATCATGTGAAGTCCTTTTCGGAAATAAAAATTCTTCATTGGTATCTTTGTTTTTGCATTCACTCGTTCTTTGCTAGTTTGATTCATGTTGCATATTTGCCCAAGAGAAACGGTATGGATGTTTTTAACTTTATTATTACGGATAGATCTGTGCGCTCTTCCAGCAAATGGTCCAAAATAGTTCGTAAAAGCATTTCTATCTACGATTCCAGACCTTTTCGGAATTTCAATATTACAATTTGCAGTTGTAAAAAGGATGAAAAAATCATTTTCCGATGCAGATTTTTCACGATCTTCTTGGTACTCCTTTTTACTGACTGCTTTTTTCCGCAATTTAAATTGGTGGATTTCGTTCGGACTCTTGGTACCCGGCTGATCTAATGAAATGAAGGAATCTCCATATGGTGAAGCTGGGGCATTAATTATACAATTTTGAATTGCCGGACATCAACGGTAGAATTACAGCAATCAACATTCCATTCGCTTGCAGTGAGACTTTTAGATTTTGTGTCTGTATGATGTTTTGCAATTTCAAGTCGTAGATTGTGGTTTTTAAATTGGATATCACCATTCAAACGTGCTCCCGCGTGAACATCTGAGATCGTTATTAGCTCATCTTCTTCAATCACAGCTGACTTTATACAACGAAATGATGCGACAAATTTTTCAAAACTCTGCCATGACTTCGCTTGTAATGATGTTACTGGATTCAAGAGTGCTCTTTGCTCCCCATAATCAGTGAATTCCCAATCTCGAAGTATTGGATCGCCTAGCTGTTGAGATATCTCTACAAATATCCAGAGCCAGATGTATGGTGCAGTGAGGTATCCCTTTGGACTATTTTCTATTTGTTCGAATCGAATTAACCCACCCCCAGCAAATTCATCTGGTGTTCTGTTAGCTTTAGGAACCGGCTTATATCTATTTAAGATACGTCGAGTCAATATTGCTCGTGCAATGGGCCTGGCATCTTCCACAGAATTAAGAATAGCATCACGGTATTTTTCAGTAAGTTTAGAACGCAAATCGTTCATCAAAGTATTGACGTTGCATTCTTCAACGTTACGACCGGCCAAGCAATCGTTCAGAACTTCTAGTGCTCTTCCATGCCCTCCACAGTCTTCCACAAGAACATTAGTAATCTCATCATTTTTAAAGACCGGGACCAGACTATCTCCTTTTCGATAGCTTGGGGGTTGTAGAGAAGTGACCGGTAGGTATATACGTTTCCGCATTGAATATCTCAACGTACCATCAATCGGCCCAGTGATAGTTGAGGTGCAAACGGGTATCACGAGAATGCCACTAAATGCAAGATCTGCGACAGATGTCAAAGTCTTGTAAAACGAAGAATTCAACTTTAAACCATCATCTTTGTTCTCCATAAGTTGTTGCATGCCGTCAACAACCAAAATGACTGTAACGTTTTTCAAGTCTCGGTTATGGTGTTTGGCAATCAATGTCACAACATCCAACGGATTTGGTGGCTCGTATGTCTCGATAATTTTATAAAACTTCATTTTCTCTCTGAGAAGCTGAAATAACATACGATTACCAATGGCAAGAAAAGGGTTGGATTCAACTGATTGTAAGGCGAAGCCATTCTCAAAGCTGACAAGGAATACCCAAGCTTCTTTAATCCTGGTCAACAGCTCCTCATCTTCTTGAGCTGACAAACATGTGATTGCCGTCTGGTGGAATTCATTAGCGTTTCGAGATTTTCCGGTACCAGCTCCAGAAAGGAAGAGGTATAATGGAAGATTCAATTTGTCAAAACGCTCTAAAATGAAATTTTCATAATGATTTTTGAGCTCTCTTCGCAGGATCTGCTTCAAAGATGGATGAGGTTGATATTCCCAATTAGCACCAGAAGTGTAAAGCAAAGGTTCTGGTTTCAAATATGGCAACCCTAGCATATAAATAGTACGTCCGATCGGCCTCAGCATAAAAACGACCAGTTTTTTGCAGAAATTGCTTAATACATACCTCCAGGAAAAGCATCAATGATTTTTTTCCTAACTTCTGTGTTGGGGGGTTTTTGAGGATAAAGAGCAATAAATAAAAAAAGCAAAAGATCATGTATTCGATGTCACATAATAAAGACGAAAAAATGGTTAACGAAAATCCAGCAAGGTCACATTGTTTAAATTTACTTACCAGCAACGGGTTGCTCTACGATAACGCGAATGTGTTTTTTGGGCGGGTTTGATGATAGGAAGCAGGAAAAAGCACGAGATTTATTGAGTATCCGGAATTATTGGCGAATATGACACGGTTTAAGATCGCTTACCTCCTTGAATTTCTTTAGAAAAGCACAAGAATAAATAAGTATTGGCAAATATGACAGAAAACGAGAGTTTAAGCAACATTACCTTAGAATGTACCAGGTGGAGAGATTAGAGACCTCAAATAAGTACGTTTATCTTCATCCATATCAAAATCATCAAGACAAGATACTGCAACTGCAATTTTTTCCACATTTTCGGTAAAGTAAGCGAGTAAACTTATTTTTTCGCCTGAAACAAATCCAAGACGATTGATTTCTCCTTTTAGAATTGATAGTGGGTTGGAATCAGACATGTTTTGGATATACAGGTTGTACGAAATGAACTGGCTTTTTTATTCAAAATAACTCGCCAATCACGTGAATTTGTTTCAATTTTCTGGATGCAATGTAATTTAGCATATCACACAATGTAACCAATAATATTGCGTATATTACGCGCATTAATGATGATGCTGATCATTATTATTGATGATAATTATTATCATTATTATTATTAAATCATTTATGAATATTATTCATTCTTTCTTGTCTAATAATATCTTTCTATAATGTCAAAAGTCTTAACTCAAAATTTTGTTTCAAATTGCTATATATAATATAAATCAGCATATCATGTGAAATATATATACATGTGATATGCTAATTTACATTATAATAATAAGTTTAATTTAATCATTATATAATTGATGTATTATAATAATAAGATATCACTATTAATATTTATTTATTATCTTTTCTCCCCATATTTACTTCATTATTATAAATGATTAATATTTATTTACTTCTCTATACTTAATTTCTATTATTCTCTCAATATTTTTTGATAATTATCTATGTGATTTAAATTTACTTACAGTCTACTTGATAACTCTATCCTCTAACTCTTTATTATATGCATTCATATATCTTTATAACTTATGTGTAAATTTATAAATTATAATTATGAGCACGTTATTAAGAACTTTAAGAATCTGATTCAATAAGAATATATAATTATAGTTACATAGATATCTGATTTTCCACTTTAAAAATCTCTAGTATTACTCTATGAAATTGCATTCATAATGGAATTTTAGATAATATTTGAAGATATATCTTGTATTCACAATTACTTTATGCAATATTGATTGTTATTCATGAAAATCAGACTGAGATAACAAAATTTTTTGTGCATAATAATCTAACCTTATCAGATCAATATATTTCTCTAAGCATTTCTTATATATCAAATGAATTTTCTTTGATAGTTAAAGATTATATTCTATAAGTACTTACTTAATATTTTTAAATTGATCTCTTAGTTTTTTAATCAGATAATAGTCAGAAAATAACATTGATTATACATGTCTTTTTCTATTTTCATTGATATACTAACTGTCACACATCTTAAATTATGCATCTTTAAAATTTAAATTCATTTTCATTATGATTAATATATTTATTACCATAGCATTGTGATTAGTAAATTGATCGAAATAAAAAATATCAATACATCCAGAATGTAGTATCTCAAATATTAGTATTACTTGATACATAAGCTTTATTTATAAAAACAATTAGTTTTTAGCTTAAAATCCAAAAAATAAAAAAAGTTCAAATCTGATCTAACATATGCTCTGACTTTCAGTATTTATTTTCTTGAATAGAATGAAGAACAAAAGATTCTTGATATTTAATATGTAAATTAACTTGCAATTACTGCTCAGATAGTCACAATAGATCATAATATAAACATAAAAAAGCTGAAATCATAATGAAATGTTCTAAGTGTTTTGAGTATAGAATATTCTCTTCTTCTTAGATTCAGATTCTCTATTAATTATCATTTGGGTAAAAATAATATTTATCATATGTTACTTAAACAAACTCTTTTTTTTCTGACTTGAGCTGGAATTCTATTATAGTATCTAATATATCATCATCAAAATGCATTATTATTAAAATTCTTCATACTTTTCTTATATACAAATATTCACTTCAACTATTCTTTTTTATATATCATTATGTTGAGTCACTTATACCTATCATAATAAATATTCTTTCTTTTCTTATCATACCTGTATTCCTAAGAATGCATATAATTCTGATATGTCTTCTCAGAGATAGTATTTTTCTTGATATAACCTATTAATTTCAGAAATAATATATCTTTGATATATACTTTTAAGTTTTTTGAAGAATATATTTCTGATTCTTGTTATCAGAGCTATACTTTGTAATTTTTAGTAAAATCTTCATCATCCAACAAATTCTTAAGCTTCATATACTTTTCTTGATGATGGATTTAAAGTATTTCAGTTCATATGAAATGACTTCCTTACTTTTGAATATACATGATCATATAATCTCTTTTATGTTATATTATTTATATAATTTGGTGACTAATATTTATCTTGGATTATCCATCTAATAATAATTATATGAATTGACAAATACTAAGAAGATATAAATAATCATATGTGAAGATTTTATTATTTTCTTTCATGAATTTTTCTATTAAATATTGTTGATTGAGTTCTTCTAAATGGATGTATAATAAAGATGAGCAAGAATATTATGCAGGTAAGATAGTTTGCACAGACTGAAAAAATATATCAATTATTTTCATTTCTTTAATGTATTTTTCATGCTTTTTTTTTATCTTTTCTCTATAGTATCATTCTTGAGATTCCAGTATATATGGTTTTAAGATTACTTCTAGTACTGTTATGTCAACTAAAAAATCTTTTCTCTACTTTTTCAAACTCTCTTAAATCTCATTCTTCAAAAACTTCTTGAGTATTAGTAGCTGTCTCTATAGTATCTCTTTCATTAAAAGAGTTAGTGATATTAGTGACTATTTTCATAATAATTTGGTATTTCTCATCATAAGTATCAGTAGCTCTTTTTATAGCAAATTGGTATCTCTTTTTAGAAATATATTGACTTCTCTTTCTTGACAAATTACTTACCTGTTTTTATCATTTTATATGTGATGACATTCTTGTAGTTTGTGATTAGTCTCACATGATTCTAAATTAATAAGAGAATAATCTATTTATAGACATCAATTAAATTAGCATGATTCTTAATTATTACTTATGTGAAATAATCTATTGATTAATAGAATATTACAACTAATAAAATTTGCTAAAATTGATCAATTAAATAATAGTTACATGATAAAATTTGTTTTAATTTCTGAACTAAACATAATAAAATACTCAAAAGTACAAAAATTTAAATCATTATAACTTTTTATATTAAAGTTGTTTAAAAATTTTGATTAGTAGTTTGAAAGAGTTTATTTTAAAAAATAATATTATCAGTTTATTTTTTTTTAAATTTATTTTTATAAAGCTATAATAAATTTTAAAGATATTCTATTTTATTTTTGAGTTAAGACTTTCAGTACTATATATCAATTTAATTCTACTATTCATCTAATATTTACTTAATATTTACTAAAATTTAATAATAAAACTTGTACTTATTAATAATTTACTTAGTAATTTTATTCTTTAATTCTTGTCATATATATTCATATATTTTTATAACTTATAAAAAAACTTATAAATAGTAATTATAAATATATTATTAAGAACTTTCAGAATCTTTCTTAATAAGTTTATATAATTATAACTATATATTACTCTAGTATTTTACTTTATAAATTTCTAATATTATTTTATAAAATTATATTCATAATAAAATTTCAGATATTATTTAAAAATATATTCTGTTTTAATAACTATTTTCTTTAATAATGATTATTATTTACAAAAATTAGACTGTAATAATATAATTTTTTATATATAATAATTTAATTTTTCTAACTTATTATCAATATATTTTCTAATATACTTTTCATATATTAAATAAATTTTTTCTTTAGACTAAAGATTATATTTTATAAGTATTTACTTGATATCTTTTAATTTTTCTCATAATTATTTCATTAAATAATTATTTGAAAATATTATTAATTATATGTAACTTTCTTTATATTTATTAATATATCATCTATTATATATCTTAGACTTTGCTTCTTTAGAATTTAAATTTATTTTATTATGATTAATATATTTTTAGTTATAGTATTATAATTTATTAATTAATCAAAATAAAAAATATCAATATATTCTGAATATAATATCTCAAATATTAAAATTACTTTATAAATAAACTATATTAATAATAATCAAGTCAGTTCATAATTATGAAATATAAGTAGTTAAAAAGTTTAAACAAATCTAATCTAATATATACTTTAATTTCTAATATCTATTTATTTAAATAAAATAAAAAATAAAGATTCTTTATCTTTAATATATAAATTTTTCTAAAATTATTAATCAGATAATTATAATAATTTATGATATAGATAAATAAAAGCTAAAATTATAATAAAGTATTTTATATACTTTGAATATAAAATATTCTCATTTACTTAAATTCAAATTCTTTACTAGTTATTATTTATATAAAAATAGTATTTATCATATATTATCTATATAAATTCTTTCTTTTCTGACTTGAACTGAGATTTTATTATAATATTTAATATATTATTATTAAAGTTTTTTATATTTTTCTTATATATAAATATTATAATCAATTAGTTAAATTTAAATAATATAGTAATATGATATAATTATAATATATAGTATAATTACTAATTACTTTTAAATTGAACATATAAGAAATTAATAATAATTAATTTAATTTATTTATAATTTTATTTTTAATTTATCTTATTACCTATATTTAGTCTTATTTATTTATTAATTTAGCTATATATATTATACTTAATTTATAGATTTATTAAATTAATAATTTTCTAATTAGTTATTATTGATTTTTCTTTCTTTAATTATAATTTTTTTAATATTTTACTAATTTAATTTCTAATTACTTTATATTTAATTTAGAAATATTCTTTATAATAATTTTTTCAAAATTCTACTTATTTTTAAGTAAATTAAATAAATATTATATTAAAAATAATTTATAATTAGCATAACAAAAAAATATTATATATAAAGAGTTAAGAAATAATTAAGAAGAATAATTAAGTTTAATAAAAGTAGATAATTACTGAGTTAAAAATAATTAACTAGTATTTTTTTATAATAAATATATATATTTATCATATATTTTATTTTTATTTTCTTCTTGTTCTATTAAGAGAATAATTTTATTAAAAGTAAAACTTATTATAATTATCTTATTAAAAAGATAATTAATTATTTTAAATCTTTTAAAATTAAAAAATAAATAATTATTATGAATATAATTACTATTATTATTTTAA